ATAATAATGAATGATATGATGGGGCCTAGTGAACAGTTGAATGAAGTAAATGAAGGCTATGTGGTGTAGCTGCTAAGTGTAGCCTAGCAGAATTGTTCAGAGCTTGCATGTGTCTCATCTTCTATGCTACATATATAACACAGAAACTTTACTAATGCAGATTTTTGTTTTGACTCGCCTAGATTCTCTACGTACGTAAGAGTTTCCTTTTTAGATTGCATACTTTTTTTTTTTTTGATTGCATACTTTTTCTTATATAAAAATATCTTTCCTGCTGTTATATGGAATAATACACACACAATATATGGTGAAAAAAATGAAATACATATGCCGACCGAAAAATATGTAAAATACGTCAACTGTAAACTGTAAACTGTAAAGTACGAAAGTTGCAGGATATTGATTACTACCGGAAAAAATTATTTGATTATGTTTCTTAATAATATTTAGTTGAAGTAATATATCCTCTATATATATAACTCAATTTGTTTAACCTGAACATGGACTTGGTTTGATCCAGTTAAGAATTCCAAACTTCCATTTACTCTTATTCACAATGCCAAATGAATGATAATACAACATGTATTCATCAACTTCTTAACACTTGGAAATCTCTCAACAAAAGTGGGGGAAGCAAAACTAAAAGAAACATTAACAATTCATAGGAAATAAGCCCGCAAAGTTGTAGTAAATGTTATCATGCTTTAATACACCAAAAATTCTCCACAGCCATTATGATCATCAAATCTCGTGCTAAATAAATCTTGAAAAGAAACAAAAAGAAATGTTAAATAAATCATCAGTTCTTATGCTAAATAGGTCTCTTTTCGATGCTACTTTTATCGAACTCATGTAATCTCCAGACATGAATTCATTCACAAACCTATGATTGATAGTATAAATTAGAATATCAATAGATTTTCAGAAAATGGTATTCTATACTATTTTCTGTATTTTGTATTTATTTAAGTATCTCTAATGTATCACTCTATTTTTCATTTCAAAATAGAATAGCTCCAAAATGGAGTTGAATTATATTCCAATGTATTATTCCATTTCTTACTTCAAAAATAATATTTTAAATATATTTTTTTGCTATTTTTTATTAATTACTTATAATTCACTTTATTTATAAAACTTAAAAATTGACCCTAATTTTTTTTTGTTTTATAAATTAGAATTGCAAAATTATGTTTTATTATATCAATTTACACATATATACATATTAACTTTAAAATATACACTTTTAAGACTTAAATTCATAATAACATATATTACTTAAACATACATACACATTTTAACAAAAAAAAATTTACGC